TGTGTGCTGTGGTGGGGCTATCCTGGACTCATGACTGTGTGCTGTGGCGGGGCTATCCTGGACTGTTCTCCCCAGAAGATGCTTTCACTCAGCACCTGGCGGTCTCTGCATGACTCCCCTTGCTGCAGCCTGATAGTTCCTCCCTGAGGACATTGGCACTGGTCCATCTGGGGCCTATGGGACCCTAGGAAGCAGGATGCAGCCAGCTCTTGCCTGCCTATCAAGCCATCTCCAGCCACATTATGTTCCCCCTTGTGTTTCAGAGTATCACCTGAGGCCAGCGCAGGGCACGCACCACCCTCAGCTGCCCATTCTGATGGGAGCAAGAAAAGGAGGAGCAGTATCTCCTCTACCCTGGGGCTCAAAAAACTCTTCTCAGCCCTGGGCCACACCCCCCGGGCCAGACTGGGCACATCCCGGAGCTACAGTGTGGAACAGCTGCAGCCCTCAGCACTGGCTCCCCAGACCAGTACCTCCAAAGTGAAGAGAGCCCCGTCATTGCAGATCCTGCATCTGGTAAGTCCCCAGGGCCCTGGGCGATAGGGTGTGGCCCCAGGTCCTTGTCTGGAGCCCAGGTCACAAAAGTGGGGACCTGTTGGTGTCCACACAGCTGACTCATAGGACTTGTGCTCACTGTGTGTGCAGTACCCCTCAATTCTGTTCTTCTCCCCAATACCTACTCTCTTCTTTCTCCTGCTCAATTTTATTGCTTCTACTTCCTGGAGAGTTCAAGGCCTGGTTTCTTTAACTTTCTCCTTGGCTGCAGTGACTCTTCTACTCCAAACACAATTTATTCTTGCTTTCTTTCTTTTCTTTTCTTTTTTTTAAGTTATTTTCTGGTTTTGTGTGTGTGTGTGTGTGTGTGTGTGTGTGTGTGTGTGTGTTGCCTGCATGTATGTCTGTGCACCCTGTGTATGTGGTACCCACAGAAGCCAGAAGAGGGCATTGGATCCCCCCAGGACTGGGTTCTACACAGTTATGTGCTATTATGTGAGCTCTAGAGATTGATCCTGGGCCTCTGGAAGAGCAACCAATGCTCTTAACCATTGAGGCATCTCTGCATTTCCCAAACATAATTCATTTCAGTCTGTATTGCTACAGCAGACTTTGACTGGCCTGCCCATTCTGGTCTTTCTCATGTGACTTCCTTAGTAGTATATCTGAGGTTGCATACCAACTGCCCTTGCCAGGAATGCATCCATTTTGGTCATTTATCATGTTCAGGACACAGTTGAGACCACTCAGTGCTGTGAGAGGATCTGTGGCCTGTCTGCTTTTATGTCCCATCACTTCCAGAATGCTTTTGGCCTCTGCTGGATAAACCCGTTCTGACAAGATCCTCCCTGAATGTGTCTCCCGTGTGACACCTGCTATGTCCCCAGTACTCCAGCTGTGTTTTCAGAAGGCATCACTGTCCTTAGGCCGAGGGGCCTTCTGCTCTGTCCTCTCACCAGGGCTCACTCCTCCATGTCTCCCCCTCACTGGAGTATGGTATCTGTACTCCCAATACCCATCTCAGTCATTAGTCTAGTGTACCCAGTTCACACTGAGTGAGCACAAGGCACTGGCTAAACGTCTCCCTCTCCGTGTGCTTAGCAAATCACCCAGCACACGAGCCTCGACCAGGAATCCTGCTCTGTACTAGGAGCGTGTTGGTATTCTGTGTATTCTGTCCTCTACCTCCTCTGTGCAGAAGGTAGAGGCTGCTGGGCAGTAGTGCAGTGGGAGGCAGAGGCAGGTGGATCTCTGTGAGTTCAAGGCCAGCCTGATACACAGAGCAAGTTCCAGGACAGGCCCCACAGCAACTAAGAAACCCTGTCTTGAAAAAACAAACAAACAAAAATAAGCAAAAAACAAATAAGGTAGAGAGCAGTGGTCTAAGGCACTGGAGCCTTTCATTTCAAAGGCCACGGAAGGAAGAGTGCAGGGCGAATGACTACTTTCATGGACTCAGGACAATATATAGGGGAGGAGATCCTCGTGCAGTATCTGCTGTCTGGATGAGTAGGGAGGGAAGACAGCATGGTGACATTGCTCCCTGGAAGCCGTCTCAAGCTAAACTTCTCTGGCGTCGAACTGTCAGCAGTGGCACTTGCATTTATTGGCATTGGAGTTTCTGTCTCCAGAAACCCTCAAGGGAAATGACAATGCACTTGTGTCTCAGAGGTCTTGCTGCAGTGTAAGCTGAGTGACTGAAAGCAGAGAGCAGCCTGGCTAAGAAAGGATGGGGCATGCAGGAAGGATGGTACAGAATTCCAGAACTGAACCAAAAGAAGCATTCAAGAAGCTGAAAGAACCGGTCTCTCCCAGCAGAGCAGATGCCTGAGCATCCGCCCTCCCCCCAAACACATCAGCACATACTGTGCCCTCTCTCATGTCCCTATGCCCTCTTTCATGGCCCCATGCCTTCTCTCGTGTCCCCGTGCCCTCTTTCATGTCCCTGTGCCCTCTCTCGTGTCCCCGTGCCCTCTCTCATGTCCCCATGCCCTCTCTTGTGTCCCTGTGCCCT